CAAGCTTTTTTTCCAACCTAAAACTCCAATTCCCCTCTCACCTCTGCTTCCCAAGGACTAGATTATCACTCTTCTTCGTCAATGATCCTCATATGAGATGAAGTTTTCAGAATATGAATGTTTTAAGTGATATTGAGAAAGAGAGCGAAGCTTTTGTTTAAGAGTATTAAGCTGGTATGCTGATGGCTGCTATCAATCACTTCTTTCCATGACAAAACAAGTAGTGAACCAGATGATGCTCTTGGAAATCCTCACATCTCGCTGACAGAAATCGACAACATATTCCTCTTTCCAGTATGTTTTCTTAATTACACACATAAAAAAAGGAAAAGAGGAAAAAGGAGGAAAAACAAACAAACAAAACATCCACCAACAAAAAACCATTTTGGAAATTCACACCTACAATATTCTCCAACGTTTTCAAATTAGTCAGAGAAGGAATGGCCACTGTAGGCAGAGATCACACTAAGTTGAAAACCTTGTCTCATCTGACAAAACACAGAATTCCAGTACCACAACCAACAAACATAAGTAACAAGCAGAAATATTTGCTTATTTTCTGGGATTCATTTGGTGAAAATAAGCAACTGAAGTATTTCAGGTTTCTGTAAAACATACAACCTGTTTCTACTGGCATACAAGTCTCAGAAAAGCTCATCTCTCCTAAAATATTTCCCTGCAGCAAAACAACTGAGACAGTAAGACCACAAATGAAAATGACAAACGAGGATTCTGGAATCATTCTAAAGTTGAGCCATAAGTGACAAAGAGCAATCTAATTCTAAAAAGTTCATAAAGCTTTGATGTGCCATCTTCATTTCATGACTTTAAGTCTAACACAGTTGATCCCACCACCAAGAGCAGGAACTTCCAAGTGGTTTGTTGCCTGCAGCTATTTCCTACAGGAGACTGCAGTAGCATGTAATATTCAAGAGAAGCTGTCTACATTACTTTATTTTTTTATAATTCGGTTGCTATTGGTAAATTATACTGAGACAAAATAAAGAGTATTTAACTGACAATTCTATTTACACTCCTTCCAAGTGGAAATCACTTCACTCCAAATGTTGAAAGACTTGAACATGCAAAGTTCAAATGTGATATATTTATGGAATTTTAGTTAGATTACCAACCAGCTAACTGAATACTCCAATTTATAAAATGAATGCTATTCAAGTAACATAATGGATTTTTAAACTAAGTATTTTAATAAGCTATGAAATAGCAATTTTTTGCAACTTCACAGAATCCAGTTTTTTAAAAATATATTCAAATATCACAGGATCCTTGATTTAAACCAACTCAAATTAGTTTCTTTCCAGTTGCAAAACATCAAGACCTTATATCTAAAAGATGAGAACTACATAAATTTTATCTTAACTTCTTAAATAAAAGTTTAACAGATCCTTACACTGGTTATTGACTATTCAGCATTACCTTCTTGAAACCGTAAATGTATGAAAACGCTCCAAAAGCGTAACTCTGGCCCAAGTACATAATCTGGAAGTTATCTGAAGGCTAGGAAGTATCACAGAAAAATTAAAATCTCTCTGATCTCCCAGTTCCATGCCTGTGGATTTTTTGGTTGGTTGAATTTAAGCTTATACAACAGCCAAATTTAAATTTACCACAGCTAACAATACAAACAACAGCAACAAAAATTCAGGGGTTTGCATCACAGGTTGCACAAAGCTCACCTGTAGACAACACAATAAAATGTCTCTGGTTTTGTCAAGAAGGCCCAACATGAGCCATATGAGTTACACAGCACGATCTATTTGTCAGAGATGGGATTCAATTAATATTTTTCTCCTTTGTATAACTTCGAAGATATTTAGTCTTTGATTAATCAGAACAGTATGGGGATTCCAGCCCGTACACTTCCAGGTCTTTCAGCAGCAAAAAATATTCCTATTTATGCTAAAAACAAGACAGCTCTCACACCCCGTTTCATTTAGCAATAAAACTGCTATCATGTCATAAAAGAAAACTATGTTACCCAATAAAAAGCCTTATACCAGATCTGTGGTACTGACTTTGGACTGATCACCCGGAAGTACCAGATCCACAAAATTCTGAGTTGAGGATAATAATAACAAGTGACACCAAGATGACTAAGATTAATGATGGTCAATTGCACAGTCTCTTGTGGTATTTATTTCTTTGCACACAATCAGCCAGCCTGCACATGGATAAGTCTTGGGAGAGTTCAAAACCAGATAAATACTCCAGGAATAATACTAAATAGATTACTGATTTAAAGAAAATAGTCTATGAAAAACGGAAAAAGTTGTTTCGAATGACCAAAGACTACAAACGAGAAAGAAGTAACGAATCACACACAAATCGAGACGGAATTGCCAAGAGTTAACAGGGAGCCTTATGCTTGGAGAACAACACGTCGCTGTAGGAAACGCTAGGAACTCTCATTCTTGGTCATTTAAAACAGGGTTCAACAAAACTCCCAGAGAGCATAAAAGCGTCGTGCAACGGCTTCCAGAGAAGCGATCCAAAGGGCGCCTTCCTCCGGCCCCCTCGCAGCGGCCCGGCGAGCCCGGCGCGGGGCGCGGGGCGCGGGGCGCGGGGCGCGGGGCGCGGGGCGCGGGGCGCGGGGCGCGGGGCGCGGGGCGCGGGGCGCGGGGCGCGGGGCG